ATCATAAGTGGTATATTTAAATAATGATACCACGTATGAGCGTGTTGTGTAAAATGGTTGTGGTTAATTAGTGTCTGTAATTTAAGTATATATATTTTTTTTTTGTGATACAATAATAGAATATGTGTAAGATAGTACAATAGATAGAATATGTGTTATATAATAGTAAATTTAACAATAGATATGAATTATATTTATGTAAGTATTTATACGAATATAATTTTGGTATATAATGGTTATTGTTACGTCCGACGTAACTTCTCTTTAGTTCGACCGAGTGCACCTTATGTTACCACCAGGAATGCAATAAATGCCCTGGGTGGTCAAAGAACAATGGACTGATAATAAGGTGTCGAAATTTCACTATTGATTATTACTCACATATCGTGAGAAGCATCTTCCCCCTTCTACTAAAAGGTGGTGAGAACTCACGCGGGGGTATCTCGCCACCTGCCTATAAAAGCGGGTGCGACTGCACACAAAAAGGTAGAACCAGTAGTAAGTAGTAAGTAAAAAGTAGTAGTAGAAGTAGTGACAGTCTGTAAGAGAGTAGTAAGACAAAAATCAAACTTAAAACAAGAAGTAATAATAGAAACAAAAATCAGACTAAAGATCAGGAATCAGTCAATTAGACAATCGATCAGTCAGTTATAATTAATTAATCAAACGTATAAAAACAAACAATACATATAACAAATGGATCATTAAGATAAAACATTAAAGTCGTAAATAAGATACTGGGAAGATAAAGGTTTGTTTCCTAACATATCCTCTGACCTAAGTGTCACGTTACATTCCCAAACCTTCTCCAACCTCTTAAGTCCGATCGCAAGCTCTTCAGTCTCTCTATAACTATAGCACGAGAAGCACTTCAAGTAATTTAAAATTTCTTAAAGAAAGAATCAACCAGAATCAGTAAGTAAAATAATTATTTTGTACACACATTTACATTTACACATTTAATCACACACAATTACACGAACTTGTCCATCCCAGGGTAAAGTGGTTAAATCCATTGACCCAAAAAGGACAATTAACACGTTTTAAAATCAACTAAGACGTGACAT